AAACGGGAAAGAATATCACTTATCTGCCAGCACAGCCATGTTCTGATTTATCTTTGAAAAGCTGCCTGGGATCCTTGGATAAAAACGGCATAGAAATACAAAGCATTATTTTAAGAAACACAGTATAAAGGCAGCTCCTCAGTGGAACCTTATTGGAACTGTAACAATTTATGCCAGCTGAGAATCTACCCCTCAAACACTACAAAAATGAGGTGGTATTTTTATCTCTAGAACCTGGCAACATAAACAAATTAATCCTTGTTTTATCGCACCCTTTTTTCCTCCCAAGTGCATCTCGTGTGAATGGAAAGAAACACTGCAAGTTATAAGAGAGGGGTCTGTACTGCCTGCTTGAGCAAAGGTGCCCTTTGCCAGCTGCTAGTTTCTGTAGGAATTGCTGTTCTTCACTCCAAGTGCGGCTGCTGTTCAGTGGTGCTGCAGTTTTGCACTGCAGTGTTTGGCAATGGAAGTCACTTAAAAAAGATAGAGGTTTATTTAATGATACTACTTCATTTGGATGCAAGCAACACTGTAGAGAACTCTGCTTTGCAGTTGTTGCCATGAATGGATGGAGAAAAGGTTTCTACAGATTTAAAATGTACAGCTAAATATTACTCTCAGGATTGCTGATGTATAGTTTCTTTTCAGCTGGCCCATACTAAGGGTGAGATTTATTTTGTTAAAAAAGCCATTTTCATATTGTCCTACACTGTTTACCAGAACTCAGTTTTTGTATATAAAAGATCCATGTTAATGAAAGTCTAATATAATATCCAATTTACCGGGAGTGTTTGTTTAGCTTTGCATCTTTTCAAGTCCCTTCCTTTGGTTATTCTTTTTTAAACAGTTTTTCAGAGTGCAAGTCTGTTTCGGTGGGCATATCCTTCTGCTTGGCAGTTTCCCTTATATGGAGCTATATAGTACTTTGAATGATATGTATTACAGGCTTTCTGTGGTGCCTATCACTGTAATGTATAAGTGCTCATAATAACCTCTGAAGTTAAGCTGCGTAACATAGACACCATCTCACTCACATGAAAAGGACGCAGCTAATTCTGAGTTCCAAGTCCTGCTTGTAATCCCTGAGCCCCTCTGCCTCTGCGTAACATGATTGTTTTAACATTTCCACGGATGTCACTTTAGTCTCAATATTAATGACTAATATGAACAAATCACAGCAGTGTTCAATATTATTCTTGTACAATTCCTGACCAAGCCACACGTTTAGAAAACCACCGTGACTATGGCAGTGCCTGGGTTTAACATATATGCATCATTCACTCTTATTAACATTGGAATCCACTGCACCAGATTGTAAACGCTGGTTCCTGATTTGTGCCCATACAATAATGTGCAGATTTTCAAAAGGGATTTTGGTCATCCAGCTGGAGATCCCAAACTGGGTGCGGGGATGGGGTGGGGGATGACACAGAGGACGCCAACTTTGCCTGTGAGGGAGTGGGAGTCAACTCTGGGCACCCAGGTTCCTTGAGGAGTCTCAGGGCAGGCACCCTACTGGTGTGTCTTTAGAAACCTGTGGTGAGCATGGGGTGGTGCAAAGCGTGAGGAGAGGGTGCACCCAGCCTCCCTGCTCTCGGGCTCCTGTATTGTAGTGAGGCTGAAGTTGGCTCCTTTTTCCAAACTAATCTTTACACGATTCAAGGTTGCTAGTAATGAATTAGACAGGCTACAGTTAGGATTTCATCCAAAATGTGTATTTACTAATAAAAATGTTAAATATTGTGTGTCAAATAAACAGGTAAAGATTAGCTTGGGGTAAAGGAACCAGGAACCGGGCAGCCTTGTGCAGCAGGTTGGTTCCCTATTCCCAGTTTCTTTTTCCAAGCAAATTCCTACACAATTCAAAGTTGTTAGCAATGAATTGCACAGGCTACGGAGTTAGGATTTCATCAAAAATGTGCATTTGCTAATAAAAGGATTAAAATAATACGGTGCGCCAAGTGACTAGATAAGGACTAGCTTGGCAAAAGGAACAAGGAACTGGCATGCCAGAGTCACTGCCCCGGCGGGGCCACGCGTGCATCTGGACCGACTCCCGGATTTGGAATTGGTTTTGGCTAATTTGTCTCGGCATACAGAAAATTAAAAAAAACCCCAAATCCCTACGCAATTGGTCTAATAAAAGATCGAATTCACCCAAGGAACCTTGTCTACGCAATTCAAAGCTGTTAGCAATGAACTGCAGAAGCTACACTTAGGGTTTCATTCACAATGTGCATTTGCTAATGAAAAAAGTTAAAAGGTGTCCCGAGTCAAACGGACGGGTAAAGAGGAGCTTGGAAAGGAACCGAGAGGCCGGTTTACAACGCGGGAGCCGCCGGCGCGGGGCCGTAGCTGCGCGGGGACGAACCCGCGCGCCCCCGCCGCGCGGGAACCTGCTCTGCCCGGCTCTGCTCTAACGGCGCATGCGCACGCCCCCGGCCGTGACGTCACGTAGGCTCTGTCCCCGCCCACGTGACTGGCTCCTGGCGGCCGTGACGCGATCGCGGTGCTCGGCGCTCCTCTAGCACGGTCTTGGCCTGTCAGGAGCAGCCAGTAGAGTGCCGAGCGGCCGATCCGCTTCCCGACCAGCATCCTCGCTCCGCCGGCAGGTGACCCCCCCGCCCCGGACACCGGGGA